ATTCCACGGACAGTGAAACTGCAGCCCCTTCCTTTTTCCAGTAAGGGTTCTCACTACTGGGGAAGACAAACCCGCAGCCCTCCACCAACTGGACCACATCCTGGTGGGGAAGTTCTCTTCCTTCGGCATTGGGGGAATTCCGTGGGGCCGGACTACGGCTTCTCCTTCCGAGCTCTCCTTGTCTGGGCCCCATGGGTTCACCCTCCTCTTGGGGTCTCTGTTTTCCGGTGCGTCTTCGCGGCGTGCGCTCTCTGGGCATGGGCTCCTCTCTCTCTCTTCTCTCCTCTTCTCTCTCCACTTCTGCATGACTGGGCATGTGTTGACTGTCACTTGATATGTCCTCGTACTGGTGCGGTGGCTGTTTCCTCATCGTGTCGGCAATCGTCCAAGGAATGTCGCCTTGGCTCTGTAACTCATGCCACGACTCTTCCCGCGCGGTTGCGGGTCGTAGCTGTTGCGGTGCGGCCTTAATCAACTGTCCGCCTCGGTATAGCCATATCACATGACTGGACCTCAGCTGATCTCCCTCTTCTGTCCTGGTCTCTGTGGCTAGAACCCTGTAAGGACCCACAAACTTTCCTCCCTTGAAGTGGCGGCTCCCATCGGCTCTTGGGGTCATTCGTCTCCATGCGTAGACCAAGTCTCCTGGACAGAAGTTCTTCATGGGTCGAGCTCCTGCGAGCTCGGCACGTCTTATGCGTTCCTTAGCTTGTTCTTCGAGGAAGGCCTTTTCTGCTACATACATGGCTTTAGCATCTTCTCCAAACTCAGCTGACACACCACTTTCAGTAAGGATAGGAATATCCCGTAACTTGCTTTCTCCCAGCTGACCTAGCTCGTTAGGTGATCTTCCAAACGCATGTTGAAGAGGACTGTATCCATGATACTGGTCTCGATGATTTGCTGCCCAGATGGCTCTAGCGAAAGCTTCCTGCGTGGTCATGCTGGGCTGCTCCGAAACTAACGCCGACATCATAGCCTTCACACTCTGAATCGATCGCTCCACAACCGAGATCTGCCAGTGTGCCTCAGCTGGGATGTGCTGCACCTCGATTTGTCTGTCTGACAAGTACGAGTCCAAACTCTTACTCCGAAAACACCCTGCAGGATCAATCCTCAGAACTTGGGGCTTTCCGAAGCTCGGCAACCAATGACCCTCAAAGAAATCGGTGAAGTCCTGGGCACTAGGGGTTTTGCTCGCATGCTGAAAAAGGACCCTTCCTACCCGAAGCCTGCTTCCCTCGTCAACACCGAGCATGCACTGCCATTTCATTCCACTCTCAGGATGATTCCACGCGAACGCATCACATTGTAACGTGTGCCATTTCGGAACTATTTCGACCAACGTTGACGGACTCCTCGGATCGGCTCTACTTCGTTCCCTACACACATCACATGAAAAATGTTCCACGCATCTCATCACCTCTTTACTGGCCCCTCGTTGCTTCAGACTGTTCTTAAGATACTGCTTACTACAGTGGCCAGTGGCAGTGTGAATTCTCCTGAGGTTCTGAAAGATCCTCTTTCGGGCTTCAGCAGGGATGTCCTGAATGTCTGAAGGATCTTCAGACGAGTCTCCTAGACCTGGCGCTGTCGTTGCGGCGAAACACTGCTCCCCGGGACCCTGAAGACCCTGAGCAATGCTAAACCAACCCTCCAATCTCTGAAGATAGCGCGCAAATATCTTTCCAAACTCCTTAGTGTACTCCTGGTGCCTCAAGCCTTCAAAACCCTTTCCCCTGCCTCTAGCATGCCTCTGATCACATGACAAGGAAAGATTCTGAATCAAAGCCCCATCCGTACTCAGAAGTCCCCAGCTCTTACACACCAGCGCTCCCTGAAAGTCCCGAAGGTTCACCTGGCATCCATCACAGGATCCTTTGTACAGTGCTATGGTGTCTTGCAAGTCCGACATCCACTGCTGTTTCCAGGCCTCGCACTGATCCGCCAGTGCAAGAACGCAAGTGATTCCCTGCGACACTACTGCCCGGAGGACCTTGGCTACTCCTTCATACTCTTTATCGGCTTGGTCCCGTTTGGCCTGGAGTCTTGAGGCTTGTTCAGGAGTCTTCCTATTGAACTTTTGGGCTGGTGAGTACGCAACTGAATCAGGACTAAACCACACACACCTGGGCTGAACATCCTGAATGGTCTTCAGCACATACTCCTGACCCTGAACTGATCCAAGATCTCCACCGTTCCAAGGGGACAGCCGAATCACGGACCCTTCTCCAAACAGGTTCTCGCATTCCCGGCTCAACATGCTGTCTTCAGAGGCTCCGATTTCCACAAGCCGAACAGTACCTCAACCACACGCTTTTAAGCAGTCCAACATAGTAGCTTCATACGCCTCTCCTATTTGCTTAGACATCTTAAAGCTCAAAGGGTTCGTGGTACCAGGAATCAGGTCCTCCTCGTCAGAATCGCCGGCCTCACCCGCGATCATGTCATCTTTGGACTTTAGGTCCCCTTCGCCTTGCTCTGCTTCCGCGCCATCTCGGAGTCGTTCATCTGCTGCTTCACCATCTCCTTGAGCTGGTGGATCTCCTCCTCGAGGGCGGCAATCTTCACTTCGGACCGTGTCTTGTCCTCGGGGACTAGCTCTGAGTCTGTCAGGGGATCCGGGCGATCCACCGACATCAGCTCCCACTTGTTGTCGCTCATCTCGGATGAGCTGGCGCTGGCTTGGTTCCGGGGTTTGTACCCCCGGCTTGTCGTCCCGGTGCGGCCGGGGTTCCAGACCGTCATGTCCTCTTCGATGGCATTCTCCCGCATCTTGCTGAGTGCCACCTTCTCGGAGCGGCTGGTTCGTTGCACCCATAGCGCAAACCTCTTCAGACGCCAGTGGGACTCCCCCTCCTCCTGGGAGGTCTTCACGCACCATTCTGCATAGCTCTCGTAGTTCGTCAGAACCTGTCCGTAGGTGAGGGCGCTGTACTTGCCGAATCCCATGTAGTTCTGTGGTGATGCTGGCACCTTGTTCTCCATCAAGTGTCGGAGTCCCATGCCGCGGAGCTGGTCCACAGTCTGAGCTCTGGTGTACTCGATGTGGAAGTCGTCCAGCAGCTCCTGCAAGGCCAATTTGGTCTTGCATCGGCTGATCATCTTGGATGCCTCGCGCTCCGTCAGTATCTGTTCGGACTCCTGCGTCAGCTCGGCTATCCGCGCTGACAACTGCACCTTGGTCCACCCTGGTGGTGGAGCTTCGCCCATCTCGATCAACTTCTGCTGCATCTGGTACTTCGAGAGGGTGGTGCTCGGCATCGTTCTCTGGATTGGAAGCGGCGAAGGCGGATTGGTCTTGTTTGAGGCTGGGTATCGCTGGGGATTTCGAGAGAGTTTGAGTCTTCAGGGTCTTCCAGGGAAACTGAAATCCATGACGCTTCAACCACGACACCTCCGAACGACCTAACTTCCAAAAAGCACTCAGCGAATACCCTATCAAGAGCACCCGATCTCCTTCCCACTCCATTGTCTCGTGCCACTGACGTGGATCGATCCATAGTGTCCCCGTCAGCTGCTTCACATGTCCTGAAACCTCGACCCCGTCACACAATCTGCTCTCCTCAACCTTGCTGCATCCTGAACCTTCAACCCATATTTCACCCCCGACCCTGGGTTTCTGGATAGGCACGATGGTATTGTTGCTTGAGGAAAGATTGTACCTATCCCTATGAGCCTTGGCCTTGCAGTTGCAGGATATTCCTATGGAAGTCACTCGGTTCTGGGGGTCATGACTTTTGAGGACTTCACACAACACCCTCGTCAGCCACGGAAACTGCTTCGTCACCCTCGTCACTCCCACAACTCCCCCGTGGACATACATTCCGAAAACAACATAAGCTGGCTTCAGAAACCCCTCACCACCATCATCTGCATTCACTGCGCTGCGTGCTCCCTGGTGAGGGCTCAGAGTGCTCCACGGCACTTGCTTGAGGAAGTTCTTCAGGTGTTGACAGGAGGCTCTATTTTGAATCAGACTCTTAGCTTGTGGCTCAAGGACGCTTTTGTCAAGGACCTGTGGGGCTTCACTAGGCTTAGGTTTCTTGGGCTTCTCACACGTTGAGGTGAAACAGATTTGGGACTCTGAGGTTTGCGACTGATCCTTGGCTTCAATCTGACACTGATACTTGGCTTCATGGTTGAGTGATTCCCTTCTGTACATTAACTGTGGCGCTGCTTCTTTTCCAAAACCCTTCTGGTGATCTGATGCGCCGTTGGCCACCAGAAGGAGCTGTCCCTACTCGGTCGCAACCCCGGGATGTGTGCTTTTCATGAACTGCTTGAACGTCTCAAAGGGCCTAGTGAGCGGAGTAGATCCCTGTAACACATCCCGTGTGAGTGGGAACAGCTGGTGCCCACTCTCAGTGGTCTCTAGATCTACCACTGCGGCTGCATTCAAAGCCTTGAACACAGCTTGGTTGTTGGAAAAATCTATAACTGCGCCTAACGCTCGAAGAGACTTGACACTCATCAGCACCGGCTGGCCTGGGATGTCATGCACATGAATTTTCATCTTGCTCGACATACGATCGATCGGGAGCTTCACGAGGGCCGTGGACAAGCAGCGATGCTGTGCGTTGTTCCCAAACCTGAAAGATGGCTGTTCATCAGGAAGGACTTCGATAGAGTCTTCCCCTGTGGTCTGCCAGTTCAGGTCTGCCACTCTTTGAACTGCGTCTTCCGATCCCAGGCTACTGGTGGCACCTCCATCGATGATCGCATTCCCTGCCTCCAGGATTTGATCAAGTGCCAGCAGGCTCTCCTCAGGCTGAGGAGTGTCACTTCTGCCATCTGGCTCCGCAGCTGTCGTCTCATTGGTAGCTGAGAACACAAAGTTCACTCGGTGCTCGCTGGATCCTCCCGTGGCTGCTTGTGGACAATCGCGACGAAGATGATTGCCCCCACACCTGAAGCACTTGATGGGAGGCTTCCGACCTTGTGATCTCTGCTCACTGTTGTTCTTGTTCGGGAAGAAGTTGCGGTTTCGACGCATCTGCGCTTGCTTTTCTCGAGCATCTTTTAAGGTCCTGCGAGCATCATCAAGGGCAGCAAGGGCCTCCTGGGCATCGTCCTCCAGCGCCTGGTAAGCATACCCTTCTTCTTGGGTGTCCCATTCTGGAACCTCCATCTCCTCATGCTCGAAGTCCTCTGTCATGAAGGCTTCTTCCTCCGCCGCAATCAGAGCTGACCCCTTTCCCGAGTCCCGTTTTCGTAGCTCTTCATCTGGCCAGGTCAACTTCAGCGCCTCCTTCACCTTGGTCATGGTGAAGTTGTTCCGGAGATTGGCCACGATGACGCTCTTCTCCGTCGCATCCAGTCCTGACCTCTGTAGAAGAAGCCACGCTATCACGAAGTCGGGGAGGAACTTGTCCGCTTGCGCCGAGGCAGCCTCTGACGCATCCCAGCTCATTCGGCTCTGAGCCCCTGCCTGAGACCCATAGCCCCAGTGTCCACCAGAGCCGGATTGCTGGTCCCAGCTCCATGGCCTCCACTCGGAGGACCACCACTGGGTGTGCCAGTCCTCGGATGCTCGTGAGCCCTCCGGAGGACCCGCTGACTCGGCTCCATCTCCGTCGCCTTCATCTGCGGGGCCAGCCTCATTGTCTTCGTCTGGGGCTCCTCCACTGAAGGAGTCTGGGGCGTGATGCTGGCCTTGACTGCTTGCGCGCCATGAGGGGTTTCTGGAAGCCGAGGTATACTTGATCTCGGGGCCATACTCCTGTATCGCCTCTGCCAGTGTCCTCTTCGCCTCCAACAAGGCCTCATCATGTCGCACTATCCAGCCAGACATCCCTTCCCCACGCCTCCGCTTGATCCCGTAGAAGAACCTCGA